AGTATGCGTTACTATTTTCCTCTGTCCCATCAGGGCCTGCCAACTTGTCTCAGTGTTCCCCTATCTATCTTGTTCTTCTGCCTCCTGTCACCTTCTTGTATTGCCCTCCCCAACACCCAAAGTAAACCCCCACCCCAACCCCATTGTGGTTACCTTATATTTCGTTAGTTCTTCCCTCCATTTAAGACAGCCTATTTTATCCAGTAATCTGCCTGACCTTCCCACCACCTGGATCTCTGTTCCTCTGTGTTTACTTTTTTTCACATTGTAATTGTTTTGATCAATTGTTTTGACCTCCCAGATCCTCTGTTCTTATAATTTTATTCTGTTCTTGACTCTTCCATTTTTCGACTGAGTTCAGGTTAATGCTGCCATATACGTCAGTCTGTAGTTGTTGTCTGTTCTTGTTGGTTCTCAGTACACAGAACTTCCTTTAGGATGTTTTTCATAGCAGGGTTGGCTTTAGCAAAATCCCTTAGCTTCTGTTTATCCTGGAATGTTTTGATTCCACCATCGTATTTGATTGATAGCTTTGCTGGGTAGAAGATTCTTCGGTGGCAGTTTTTCTCTTTCAGGGTTTTATATATATGTCACCCCTTGCCTACTTGCCTGATGGTTTCTGTTGAGAAATCTGAGCTTAATCTGATTTGCTTGCCTTTGTATGTTACATTTCTCTTTTCCCTAGCTGCTTTCAAGATCCTTTCTCTATCTTTGATTTTGGAGAGCTTGATTATTATATGTCTTGGTGATAGTCTTTTAGGGTCTATCCATCCTGGTGTTCGTTGAGCTTCTTGAATGATTATCTTTTCATGATGTTAGTAAAATTTTTGTCCAGAAGTTCTTCAACTATCTCTTCTGTGGACTTGTGTGATCGTTCCTTTTCTGGAATGCCGATAATTCTTATGTTATTCCTCTTCATGTTATCCAACGTGAATCTTAGGCCTTCTTCAGATTTTTTTATCCTTTTTCGTGTTTGTCCTTCTATCTTAATAGTATTGAGAGATTTATCTTCTAGCTCAATAGTTCTGGATTCTGTCTCTTCAATTCTGTTCCTTTGCCCTTTCAATGTATTGTCCATTTCTGATATTCTGTTATTAATCATTTATACCTCTGTCTGTAGGTTTTGAATTGTTTCCAATGCTGTATCTATCTTATTTAATAGTTCTTGTAGCACTTTCCTGAGTTCTTCCTTATTTTTCTCAACTCCATTGTATAGTGTTTTGATACATTTTATAATCATTCTTCTGAATTCCTCCTCAGGCATTTCCAAAGCCTGCCCATCTTCCAGTATGGAGGAGTATAGGTCTACTTTCAGCTCATTTGCCTCAGTGACTTTATCTCGTTTCTGGACACATGCATATATGGTCACCTGCTTCTGTTTTTGAGCATATTCAGGGGTTATCTGTGGCCTTTATTACTCAGATGGGTATGTATTTTGGTATTTCTTATTCTTTCTGATTGCCTCCAGGTAAATGTAATTAGGAAATGGGCTTCCCTTTTCACTTCTCTTCTTGAGAAATTTCAAGATGCCACTGTTGGTTGTTTTGACATAAGTTAGGATTTAATTTTCGGCGTATTTCCTTTTTTGTCTGCTTGTCTCACTCCACAATCCCCGTTAAGGCCTTTTTTGTAGTTGTAAACAGTTCAGGGCTGGCTGTGGCCATTTGGTTTTAATTGGAAATTGTCTCTTTAAATGTCAAGGAGATCTATGCACATGCATAGTATAACCCTCTGAGGGTGGGGCTGGGGTGCCCACTAGCTAAGGCTATAGTCACCCTGAATGGAGGTGCGCAGACAGCAAGGGACCGCTACCAAAAGAGAAGAATGTCCACACCTTTATCTCAGCGGTTCTACCGGGCATCTGTGGCCGTTCTCATGATTCTCCCACTTGGTCTCACCCAAGATGGCGGCTCCTCAAGCAGCTGAGCATCTCGAATTACAAAGCAATGGATTTCTTGCTTCTGCCACAAATTCCTACAGCTCTAAGCCTTCCAGCCTTCTAAATATTCCTTTGTAAGTGGTTCAGAGTTCTGGGACCAGCCCCTGAGCCTTCTTGGCCAGGTATTCTGTGTTGTTGCTGGAGGACATCCTTCACTGCACTTCCACCTGATCCGCAATCTTGTTTGTTCTCTATAGTCATCTTTTGCTATTTAAAAAAGGTATATGAAATGAACAAATAATTTGTTTTACAGAAGTCTATCATAATGATCTCTAGCATCATTTCTGTCATCAAGGCAATATTTTGCAACTACTGATCCTTCCTCTTTGTTTCTAACCTTTGCATTTCAATTGCCAGTGATTATCAATATATCTTGCTTACATGTTTAAGCCTTAGTACTGTAGTGGATTCTGAACTAGGCTCCTAACCAGAAGATTATCAGTTTGAAACTACTAATTCCTCTTTGTGGAAAAGATGAGGCTTTCTGCTCCTATAAAAATTCACAGCCTTAGAAACCCTCTACTTGTTCGCTCTGAGTCATAACTGACTCAGAGGTACATAACCAACACCACTACTACCACCAACTGAATATGAGAATTTATGTTTTCATAGGTATTCTAAGAAGTAAAGAGACAACCAAGGGAGATCTTGACTGTTTTCTTAATGAATCTGTGTCTTTATATGGTACCTTTATTGGCTTTTTGCATTAACTTAGTTTAGTTAAATAGTACGCTCACTTTTCATCTTCTATTTTTTCTTTTTAATTTGCTTTTGAACTCCATTGTTGTTGTTAAGTGCCTTTGAGTTGGTTCTGACTCATACTGACTCTACATGCTTTCTGAAGAGTGGCTGGTGCGTTTGAACTGTTGACCTTGTGGTAAGCAGTCCCATGCTTATAGTGCCACACCAAGACTACTTGAACTCCATTAAAATAAGAAATTTGGCGTTTCTTATGTTAATTTTCTTAAAGTCAAACCAAAAAGTGTAAACATAGAAAACCAAAAAGGAAGGAAACGCTCTGCATTTCTCAAGCTGGGGGTATTGAAGAAAAAATTCTAGCCTCAGTTTTTGTTATTGAAAGATTCTCTGATCAGATTATTGAATGATGCAGAAAGCATGAAGAGAAGATGGAAGGAATATACAGTCACTGTACCAAAAAGAAATGGTTAATGTTCAAACATTTCAAGAGTTAGCATGTGTGTTCAAGAGCCAATGATACTGAAGGAGGAAATCCAAGGTGCATTGAAGGAATTGACAAAGAACAAGGCACCAGGAATTGATGGAGTAAAATTGAAATCTTTCAAGAAAGTGAGGTGGCATAGGAGGCACTCACTCATCTATGCCAAGAAATTTGGAAGACAGCTATCTGGCCAACTGATTGGAAGAGATCCGTGTTTGTGCCCATTCCAAAGAGAGGTGACCTAACGGAATACGGAAATCATCAGACATTATCTTTGGTATCCCATGCGAATAAAGTTTGACTTAAGGTAATACAGAAACGGCTGCAAGCATACATTGACAGAGAACATCCAGAGGTTCAAGCCAGAAACAGAAGAGGCCATGTAACGAAGGATATCACTGCTGATGTCCAATGGATCTTGACTGAAAGCCGAGAATATCAGAAAGATGTTTACCTCTGCTTTATTGACTACACAAAGGCCTTCGATTGTGTGGATCATGACAAGCTATGGGCAACACTGTGAAGTATGAGTATTCCAGAAAACTTAAATTATGCTCATGAGGAACTTGTACATAGACGAAGAGGCATTTGTTTGAACAGAGCATGGGAACACTGAATGGTTTAAAATTAAGAAAGGTGTGCGACAAGGTTGTATTCTTTCACCATACTTATTCAACCTGTATGCTGAGCAAATAATACGAGAAGCTGGGTTCTATGAAGAAAAATGTGACATACATTTGTCGGAAGACTCACTAACAACCTGCGTTCAGATGATACAACCTTGCTTGCTGAAAGTGTAGAGGACTTAAAACATTTACTGATGACAATTAAAGAGCACAGCCTTTGGTATGGATTGCATCTCAATATACAGAAAACAAAAATATTCACCATTGGACCAGTAAACAACATTCTTAACGCAGAAAAGATTGGCGTCGTCAAGGACTTCATTTTTCTTGGATCAACTATCAACACTCACGGAAGCAACAGTCAAGAAATTAAAGGACGTATTTCATTAGGCAAATCTGCTGCACAAGTCGTTTAAAGTGTTGAAGAGCAAAAATGTCAGTTTAAGGACTAAGGTGCGCCTGACCCAAGTCATGGTATTTTCAATAACCTCATATGCACGATAAAGCTGGATGGTGAATAAGGAAGACTATAGAAGAATTGCTGCTTTTTTAAGTTACGGTGTTTGATGAGAATATTGAAAGTTCCATGGGCTGCAAACAGAACCAATAGATCCGTTTTGGAAGAAGTAAAGCCAGAGTGCTCCTTTTAGGCGAAGATGGCCAAACTTTATCTCTCATACTTCGGACATATTGTTAGAAGGGCTCAGACGCTGGAGAAGAATATCATGTTTGGTAAGGTGGAGGGTCAGAGAAAAAGAGGAAGACCCTCAACGAGGTAGATTGGCCAAGTGGCAGCTTCGACGGACTCAAGCTTGCCTGCAGTAGTGAGGTTGGCCCAGGATCAGGCAGTGTTTCGTTCTGCTGTACACAAGGTCTCTATGAATTGGTAAGGACTCAATGGCACCTAACAACAGCCACAAATACAACTTTTGAAGTTTTCAATGTATTCAAATTCGATTATTTTTTTCAGAGGCTTCTGAGTTAATTTTGAGAAGTAGACTGAAGTGTATTAATGATGACAACCTTAGTATTAATTTTGTTGGGATAGACATCGCTAATGCATTTAAGGAATTTGATCATTTAAATTGGTAATTTTCAAAGTTATGAGTTTGACCTCATTTTTAGATACACAGTAGCCTAAATTTATGATACTAGAACATTGCCTTGAAATACATTATATAATTATTTTGTGATTTGTTCTCTCCTTATCTCCCTTCTCCCCCCTTTGGGCTTACGTTTTGCATGGAATTTATAGTTGATCCACCTGAAGAAGTAGGAGCTAGTATTTCTGTCACTTCAGATGAACTTGAGAAATTGCTGTACAAGCCACAAGATGGTGAATGGGGCCAGAAATCAAGAGATGAGGAATGTGAACGCATCATCAGTGGCATTGATCAACTCTTGAATCTTGGTATGTTGTTTTATGGTTAAATACTTTATATTCAGGTTTTCCTTTGTAAAAAATTTTTTTGAAAGTGTAATTTCAGTTCTGTCATTGGTTATACTATCTGTTACCTTTTGCTTTAGCATGTAATGTTTAAGGTAGCTCTATTTTTATGAATGATGTGTAGAGAAATATTATTTAGCGTTCGTGTATTTGTTGATTAAAAACTCTTCTGTCCTAACAGATATGGCAGCAGCTTTTGCAGGCCCTGTTGATCTATGTACCTACCCAAAGTACTGTACAGTAGTAGCTTATCCAACTGATCTTTATACAATTCGAATGAGGCTTGTTAATCGATTTTACAGGTTAGTAGACACCTACTTTTTTTAAAAAAAGTTTGGAAAATATTGGCCATACTAACTAATAACAAAGGTAAATAGAGAGGTGATGGTTGGTAAGTGTTAGTGGATGGAGTATTAACAATTTCTTTCTTACTCTTTTCTTTCATTATATTAATTTTGTTCTCCTATTTGTTTGATACTATGTTAGATGCCTGTGAGTAGGTGGGAATTGAACCAGGCATGAAATAATCATGTTTTGGTCTTCAATCTGTAGTAATCTATTTTTCTTCCAAATTAAATGAAGCGATACGTTCATTGTTTTAATTTATGCATCAGCATTCATGTTTTAATTTCTTCGTTTAAAACCAAATTTTATTTTACTTAAGGATTGACCTCTGGCTTCGATGATAAGATTAAGCCCTCAATGGGATCAACTTTTAATCTCTGGCTTCTTGTTAAGTGCTGTCTAGTAGATTCCAATTTATAGTGACCCTGTTATAGGGTTTCTAAGTCTTCAAATGTTTGAAGGAGAAAGCCTCATGTTTCTCCTGTCGAGTGATTAATGGGCTCCCAACTTCCAACCTTGTGGTTCACACTTCAGTGCTTATCCTGTGGAGCTACCGTGCATGTAGAACACTGATAACTATAAAATTTCCTATTCCTAATGATAATTTTAGCCATTGATTTTAGCTTATTATTTATAATTAGATTCCTTAGAGAAATTGCCTTTATAGAAAACCAGACATGTAGAGTCAACATGATCAGTATAATTTTTCTAGACATGGGAATGTGCCTCATAATCAGAAACTACTTTGACAGTTTACAGTGAGATTGATTGATTGAAGATTGGTGGTATTTTAACATTCTCATTAGCAGTTAACATCTTCAGAAGGTACCTATCAGCAGTGTGAAACAGTCCTTGCTTTGTTCAGTTTTCTTTCTGTGATAACAGTGATCAGTCAGCCTTTAGATTCTTAAATGTATTTTCTGTAATTCAGTGTCCACTGTCTAACCATTTATATTATGATCAAATGAACAGAACGGAATCTTGTTCATTGTGACTTTGTTCATGTGGTTTAATTCATCATGCTGTTTTAATTGGTATATGTGCTAAGAAAATTTGCTTTTTTACTTGGTTTCTGTCTTTTTATTTTCTAAGCCCTAAATTGGCTACTTTATTTTGAAGGAGGCTATCTGCATTAGTTTGGGAAGTAAGATATATTGAACATAATGCCAGAACATTTAATGAACCTGAGAGTGTAATTGCAAGATCAGCTAAGAAGATAACTGACCAACTTTTGAAATTCATCAAGTAAGTTACCTCATATAGTATAGACTTTGTGGAAAAGTTATACTGCATGCTCTTAAAATCATCATTTTTTATTTTCTACTTTATGAGTTATGCCTTCTTAGTGTATTTCTTTAAATGACATTTAAAAATACATTTAGGGTCATTATAATTTCATTAACAAAGTAAATTGAAAATCTTTTTTTTTTGTCAATTAAAAAAAATTTTTGAAAAACTTTATATTGTGAGAGAATTGCATAAAAGCCTTCCTTGATTTTCCCTTTGGTAGCATTTTACATTAACGATGGTACGTTTATATAAATACTAAGTCATTAGCCTTGATAAAATACTGAATGAACTGTACCACTTACTTTAATACACAAATGTCCTTTATGTCAGGGTTTCATTCAGAATCCTCATTGCATTTAGTATTTTCTTAATCTGTCAGTCACTTGGATTTAATGCCTATCTAAAATTTGGAGGACTCTCAAGTCTCCACCTCTATAGTACTTTATTTCCTACATCATGAAAACCACACACCTATTTTCATCCTTTTCATGACTATATATTCCTACTTTAGCATTCTTTCTTCTTCTTTGTGCACAGGTTAAAGTATCATTTGCTTTCATTTCTTCCTCCTATTGTTTTCCTAGTCTCTCTTTTTGTCAAACTAACCTATTTCTGTTCCTTAAATTTTATTGTTGTTGGGAATATGTACAGTAAAACATACACACCGTTTCACCAGTTTCTACATGTAGAATGTAGTGACACTGGTTACATTTTTTGAGTTGTACAGTCATTCTGACTTTTCTGTGAATTGTTCCTCTATTATTAGCATTCTTTTAAGGTTTCTATCTAGTTTTTCTAGTTGCTGTTGTCAGTTTGGTCCCATATATGTAGTACTTAAAACGCGAAACTATTGTTCGATTTTCAATAGTTTTCTCTGTAGCCTTTACATTATAATTTTGCTAGTGAGGATACCTATGTTTAGGGAAAGTCATGAATGTACTTATTTGGTTAATGCCATATGTTATTTTTGTATTACCAGTTTAATTTCATAAAATATACTTAATTAACTCATGATTTTGAATTAGGACTTCACATGGTCAGTTGTTTCTACAGTGACTTGCATCAAAACTTGTTATTTCTCTGCTTGAATTAATTATGCATATTTTGGGAAACTGTTCATATTTTAATATGTATATTTTCAATCGTTGGAAAGAGTCAACTGTATATGTTATTTAAAAAGTGAATAATTGCTTTTCAGGACTCAAGACTGTACAAATATCTCAGAATTTACTAATACGTCTGAAAATGATGAGCAAAATGCTGAGGATTTGGTATGACATCTGTCAATTTTATAATGGTTTTTGTTCATCTCAAAGTTGAGCTAAAAAATGATTAATGTAATAGAAAATGTTGGTTCCCTAATATTAATTGTTGATATTTATAATAAAATTTAAAAATGGGGTATTTGAAAAGAAACACTTTTTATACTTATAATTGACCTAGATGTTCAATGAAGTATAATAATTAATATCAAGTAAAGAATAACTTTGGAGTCCTAGTATGGCATTGTCGGTTAATGCGCTGGACTGCAAATTCAGTTTGAACTGCAGGGTCAGCGGTTCAACCTCACCAGCTGTTCCTTGGAGACCCTATGCAGGGTCGCTATGGGTCGGAACAGACTCAGCGGCACTTAACAACAACAATTAATAACTTTAGTTATGAAATGTGTTCTTAAAAGTTTTACCTTGAGAAAAGTATATTATCAAAAGTACCTTGGGAATATTTCTTGTAAAACCAAAATCTGTGTGTTGGGTTTTAACATAATTAAGTATAAAAAAAGCTGCCTATGATCCTGTTGTGGTATATTATAGTGCATTGTGTATAATAATGTGTATTATAATGCATTGGACTACAGGTCAATTTGTGCCGCAAGGTTGGCGGCTCAAACCTGCTAGCCACTCCTTAGAAACCCTATATAGGGTCACTATGACTCGATGTGACTTAGCAACAACAACGTAATCCAAAGTCCTAAACTCAAGATGATAATAAAGTGTAGATACATAGGCAGGTACCATACCATTGTGTTGTAGAACTTTAACACACAATCAGACTCTGGTTTGGTGTTTCAGGAAGGATATTTTTGAAAAACATAGGGTCAATTTTTCCACAAACTTGGACGTAGTTCACTGATTTTTATGTTAATTTATGTTAGAAATTAATTGAATATACTGTTATGTGATTTATGAAATAATAAATTACTGAATTTGAAGCCTGGTGTGATGCTATAGGATAAGCACTGGACTGCTAACCGCAGGTTGGAAGTTCATACCCACCAGCCACTCTTGGAAACCCTATACAGGGTCACTATGAGGCAGAATCAATTAGATGTTACACAACAATAAAAACAACAAAATGTGTGTACTAGAAAAATACATGCTCTTTATTGGTGTATGTGGCTATTTTGGGATTGGCTTTCTTTCTAAAGGAACATAACCAGTGTTGGAGGCTGGCAATTCCCACTTCCCGTCAGGCAAGAAGACAGGTGGCTTCTCCTGATACATGTGGTCGCAGGGGCTGACTAACCCAAAATCAGCAGTTTTACAGAGCAGGCTGCTCATTGATTCCTCAAGAATCAAAGGTCAGAGGATGATGAGCTAGATGCAGGATTGAGAGAGAGCATTCGGTCCTAGAACATCCATATGTATTGGATGCAGGCCATGTGTCTATGGAAACTCTACTTCCCAGCTGATTGACTGCTCACACCAGATCACAGAATTGTAGGATGTCTGCCAAACCACAGAATTTTGACCTAGACAAGTTAACACTCAACATTAATAATCATAGTGTACCACTTGTCAACTTGGCACTAGTAAAAACACCTTGGACCATACATAATTTTAAATTAAAGCCAGTTATAAAGTAGTTGTTGTTAAATGCCATCAAGTAAAGTAGTACTTACACGGAAAAGAAAACAGCTAACATGTACAGCTGAAAATGCAAATTATAATTTATAATGAGTTGTTGTCATTGTTAAGTGTTGTTGAGTTGGTTCTGACTCATGGCGACCCTGTATAGGGTTTCCAAGAAGAGGCTGGCAAGTTTGAACCATTGATCTTGGGGTTCAAACCAACCTTGAGGTCTAGTGCTTATATCCCCAGTGCCACAGAAGGAACTCTGGTGGTTCAGTGATTAGAGTGTATGGCTCCATATTCCCACCAGCCATTCCATGAAGGAAAGATGTATCAGTCTGCTTCTGTAAAGGCAATAGCCTTGGAAACACTGTGGGGGCAGTTCTCTGTAAGAAAGAAAAATAAAGGTATATATACATATCTTTGTACATGTAGGTATAACAAAATGTGGTAGAAATTCTCATAATAGTTAACAGTTACCATTTCTGCAACTGGTCTGTGGTCATAGTAGGCATTTTAGAACTACTTTTTTCTAGACCCATTCTGATTCCCTTTGCCTTTAGCAAGCAACTCAGCTGATTTGGGTTTCTGCCTTGTTTGGGTTGATTTCGGCTGGAGGGGGAGGTGAATCTATCCTACATTGAAGAATCTGTAGTAGTGATCATGTTGGAATTGGATTGCTATAATTTTATACTGATTTTAGTCACAGGGCATGGTAATACTAAGACAGTCTAAGGGATCTTCTGTATGCCAGACATATTCTTCTAAACCTCCATTATGTAGTATCAGTCTGATTTCACGAGTACAATACAGTAACTTCCTTTTTTTCCTGTTGATCCAGAGTCATGAGGACCCCAGTATGTCTGGGTGGCGTTCTTAGCTTACAGTTAAGTGGAATAAATTTGTCTCATTGTGGAAGTTTTCCTCCCTTTGGAACTAAGTCTTCTAGATGCACAGAGCATAAGTTCATGGAGATAGTAAACAAAAAGTTTGTGAGTGGGTCTCTAGTGGTAATAATGTGTGTGGTGTCGCTCTTATTTATACTCCTTGAGTCCTGGACCATAGAATTCTGGCTTTGGGAGAAACAGCACCATACATTGGATGCTGATTTAGAGAATTTACAGACTACTGGGGAACATTGTCCCAACCATGCAAGGTATTGCTGTCTTGTTGGAATTATAATTATGTCTTTAGAAGGCCATTGTATGGCTCTGTCAAGCCAGCTTCTTCTGCATGATGATGAGGAACATGTAAGACCAATGAATTACATGAGCATGGGACCATTGTGGCAGTCCCTTTGCTATGAAGTGTGAGGTTCTTGATTCGAGGCAGTGCTGCGTGGGATACATGAGAGTGGTTAAGGCATTCTGAGTCCACAAATGGTAAATTTTGCTGAAACATTGCATGCAGGGAAGGCAAATCTGAATCTAGATTGTGTATCCTGTTAAGAAGAAAACACTTTCCTTTCCATGTAGTATACTGTAATCAACCTGCCACCAAGTTTCTAACTGTGACTGGCTGGTCGCACTAAGAATGGTATCGAAGACTCAGTGCTGATCTCTTGCTGGCAGATTGGGCCCTCAGCAGTGGCTGTAGCAAAGACTGCTTTTGTGAGTAGAATTTGTGTTGTTGAGCCCATATATAACTTTTAGCTCTGCCACCATAGCCACTTTGTCCAGGACCCCATTGAGCAACGACAGGAGTAAGGAAAGATAATGACTGGTATTCAGAGTATGTCATCCTTTCCACTTGTTAAAAATTCCTCACTGTTGAGGTCACCTTTTGCTTAGCATCTCTATTAACTTCTTTGAGTCACTCACGTATATCCACTTGCATCTTTCGCATACTTCCTTGTTAACAATTTTCCAGTCACATTCCTTCCAAGTCCCTGATCAGCTAGCCAAACCACTGGCCACAGCCATGAAACAGTATACAGTTGGCCATTTGGCCATTTCTTCTTCTACACAAATTGAATAACTAGGTATACATTGCTTGAATTTCTGCCCTTTGGGAGGATTCCCATTCACCAGCATCATATCTTTTTATGGAAGTTCTAGAGGGGCTGAATTGCTACTGTTGTCCACTTTCAATAACTACCTGAATATAGAGTTAGAACCATTTGTAAACCAGGCTCACAGTTTTTTCTTCCTTGGTCAGTTGATCTTAACATACTCCCAATTAGGTCATTCAAGTCCTGTGGGTTAATGCACTGGATTTCAAAGTTGGCTTGAGCCACAAGGTCGGCAGTTCAAGCTCACCAGCTAGCTGCTCCTTGGAAACCCTATACAGGGTCACTATGGGTTGGAACAGACTCAGTGGCACTTAACAACAATTAGACCATAGGTACAAACTGGGAAAGGAAAGGTAGCATCACTGGATGGAGACCATGCCACTTTTTCATGTAGGTCCTGCCTGATCTCATAACATTTTAATGATAGGGTGCTGCTCTGCACATGTGACTTTATGATTTTATGAGTCAGACAAAACCTAGTTTTTTGTTATGCATTTGTTTTTGCTAAAGCCCAGCAGCAAGTCAAAAGCTGGTTATCAAAACGGGATAGCTGACCTTTGCACCACAATCATAAGGGTTTCTGCTGTGATTCACCAACAGGGGTCTGCCAAAGACTATAAATAGCATCTCTATCTGCCACTGACATTTCAAGAACCATTGGCCCCAAGTGTCAGAATGGTTAACATGGCATAAGCTATTGGAGGACCTTCCCTAGTTCTGGGCCCCACAAAAAACTAGCAACTTTATGAGTCACTTGGTAAATAGACTAGAGTAGCACACCTAATTGAGGTCCACCAGGCAGTGTGTTTATTTTTTAGTTGTGGGAAGGACCAGATGCAACAACTTATCCTTCACTTTAGACTGAGTATCTTGACATGTCCCACACACCTGGATCCTACTTTTTAGCACAAATGTCTTACCAATAAGTATAGAATCATTGACACAACTTCTTTACTGAGTCTAATCAGCATAATGACATTAATGTGTGATGTCTTGAGGACATGAAAGGTATTCATTTTGTCACACTGGTCTGTTACATTAATGACATTATGCTAATTGGACTTAGTAAAGCAGTTGTGTCAATGATTCTAGACTTACTATTAAGACATACTAGCAGCTGGCACAGTGTTGGTATTTACATTGCAGAAATGGGGAAGTCACTACAGGATATGTTTGTGAATTCACTGTGAGACAGACCTGAGCTAAGATTCCATTAGTAACCCGACCTTCATATGCCCTTACTCTGATTGGTAGGCCACAATAAAGTCTGCATCTCCTAGAATTAGTGTTAGTTCAGAATTGGTGTTTAATAATTTCCCCATAATCTGATTATTTCCACGCCTTGTAAAAGGCTGTATATCCTTTTAAGAAAGACTGGGAAAAAATTTAAGTTTATAAATTTTAGATTGGA